ATCTTGGTTCTCGCTGAAAAAAATTCCTAGAAGTTTTTCGAAGATTGGATAATGATACTTAGCACACACTAACTTGGTCTTACAGTACCGGAAAAGTGCGAAGCCAAATTATTTCGATTTATTGGCTGAAACTGTGTGCCAAGTTATTAACTTTTCTCATCACTTGCGGGCTGTTAACCAGCTGAATGTTCATACTGTTGATTTGCCTCACGTCAGACACCGCTATTCACTCATCCCTATCTTTCTTCAACCAGAAGCGAAACTTGTCTTTTTAGACCGCTGCTAAAAGGTCTCTCGACATGTCTCCTTTCGCGGAATATTGCTTACTAGATCGAGAGAGGGGGCGGCCATTCAAGTCCAAGTGCTTGACGTTGGACTTAGTATTCCACAATGCCCCCTTACTGCCCGTCTCTTAGGCTAGCGCATGTATTTTCACATAATCTATTTAGAAAACCATTGGAACTCTTTGGGCAGGTACAGCCATATTTTTGAAATCGAACAAACTGAACATGACAAATGGTAAATGATCCTCAAGTTTCCCTGGGGTATCGCCGAAGACTTGTTGTGTATTTGTAAGTGTTTGCTTGCCTCGAAATCGATCACTAAGGAAGTTTGCTTCTTTAGACTATAGGTGAATAATTTGCCAAAGATTGCGGTGTATGAACGCTATATGCAAATCTTATAAAATTTAAGCTAGGAAATAAAACGGTATTCAAAATGGCTTCCTTTGTTGAACCGTTTGTCTCCAGACCTCTGCTTAACACACCTTCGTTCGTAAAGTAGCTCAACATATCATGGACATCAGGGCTTTGCGGACAGCGACAATATTCTTGTCAGTATACCGATTATAAAGAGGTACTGAAAGCTCTAACAGCACATAATGATCCCTTCATTTCCTATTTATCCCTTTTCGATCACTCTTAAGTGCGAAAGTTCTTCCGATTACGTAATTTGCTAATTGCGGCAGTACTTTTGTACTGGCAATTACTTTCTTCAGTTCCGCATCCGAAACAGAACATAATTGATGTAATAATTGGATCACAAATGTTTCTATATGCTTCAATGACATCTCCGAGTTACATAATACTCCAATTATTTTCTGTCCATTGCGTCAGCGGTTACATCTTCTGTCCCATGCAGCCCATATTGCAATAATCATCCAAGTTTTTTTTTTGGAAAAGCATCAATAACAGAACAGTAACCAATATTACGATGCTTTACCATTTATAAACAACCATTTCTCTGTGCCGATGCCAAATTTCTGCAGACCAAGATTTATGGTTATGAGAATGAAACGAATATGGAAGCAAACCCCTCCTCCTACAGACGAAGTACGACAAACCGAAGTTTTGCTAGCAAAACTGCCCTGAATAATGAAATTTGGTCTGGCAGGCATGGTACGATGCACGCTTATACTCAGGACTTTGTACAGGAGGTAGAAACTGGGTGCATCAGATTTCCCTTTTATCCCCATCGGAATAAATGATGAATACAAACTATGGTTTTCAGTTGTTTCCTCAGCTGGATGGTAGTCAGTGTTTGTATTAGGGACTGCTGATTGCCGTGGGGGTCATAATATTTAAATGAGCGTGTTTGCCCATATTCGATGCTTCTTCCCTGTATCCGTCTTTACGTTTATCGCCCAATATCAAAAGAGTCTCATGTGTCCAATGCAACCATTCAGAAAATCTGATTATATCCAAAAAAGTCTTTGTTTCTTAGTCCATCTTGAATCGGATAAACGGTTTCTCGATCCGTAGCTATGGGCAAAGAGTAAAATTTCCGTGGAATCGTTTTACTTCGATTATCAATGCAAACAGTTACTCCTATCGTCCCTATCGTCATTCCATTTTCTTCGTGTCATTGTGCTTTTTTCTCTGTTTCTTTTTAATCTGAATGTACCATAGACGATGAGGGACATAGTGAGGACCGAGTCCTAATATCCTCAAACTCCAGCCAAGTGTAGGATATTTGCTATGGATGAACTATCGCGGTTGTGACGCTTGACTCGTTGAGGCGTGTCTTTCTTTGGCAACAATTCAAATGACCCCGTGAATGGTAAAAACCACCTCCCTTTTGGACTTTATGCAGGGAAGATGTACGAAAATGTCATGATGACTCCTGAATCTCATGCCGATGAGTGATATTCCTCAATTATAACAAGCCAATCGATGCACAGATACGGTTGCTGAAACAAAACATTTTTTGACAGGACAAGTCTATTATTTCTTTCCTTCCTTTTACCTATGAGTCTGGTTTCGACTCATCGCAAGCGGATTCAGAGTCAAGAGATCCTAGGTTCGAGCCACGACCACTTCTTTCACCTTGCTTCTTGCCTAAGGCAGATAAACGAATATCATTTTGGGAAAGA